CAGGAGGAGAGCTAGTAACGTTAGCAGCACCGCTAACGGCTAACCAATGGAGGTTCACTTCAGTTACACTATGATGCCTTCAGGCACTGCTCAGTGAACGCGAGTACTGGCTGAAGGTCAGTTATAACGTTATCATGATGTGTTCACATGTCATCTGTAAAATGTAGTTTTGGTGATAAACTTTAATAAATCCAGTAGTTTGAAGGAGATGTTTTCACATGAATATAAAATAGATATTGGAGATGAATTATGAGCTGTTTACCTTCCTAACACGAGCTCTAAGCTCATTATTATACTTCAGTAATAATAATTATGAAGAGATTTATTTTAATCTATATAAATACAATATTGTATTCCCTTATCATTTGAATTGTGTGTTTTTATAAAGAAAAAACTCTATAAATGACGATCACAAAGTCAAAGTAGAACATTTAGTATTGTTGATGGTTTACTGAGCGTTGCAATGATTTTTGGGACGGTGACAAAATAAATATTCTGGATCCTTGTAGACCAGCTGCTATAATCAAACAACCATATGGATCATCAACGATCAATAATTAGTTCCAGAGAAATGTGATCAGGGGTCTAAAAGTTCCATTTTGTCCTGTAGTCTTCACGTATAAAGATGTGTTTTTAATGTTTTGGCGTCTCGTTAAACTGAGTTTTAGGTCACTAAAACGTATATTTCTGTAAACGCCTTTAAATATGTAAATATTTAAAAACTCAGTCGATACTATTTACATGTTTCTCATGAAGGAATCTGGTTTTTAGAGTTTTTCCTCAGCAGGACACTGATCCTAAAAACCACGAGTCTGAATATTTCCTATAAAAAGACTTCTTGATAGAAACCATATGAGTCACATTAGTTTTCACCACATGACCAAATATCAAGTCTGCTTCAATGAAGAACTACTTGCTAAAACAAAGGAACATTAAATATAACACACGTTGACAAAGAGAAACCTGTGTCTCTGGTTTACATGTTCCACATTTTATCAGCAGAGTGTCATTCAGTGACTTCACTTCCTGTTTGTGTCTCATGAGTCACGACGTGTCCTCCGATTGATCACGACAACAAACAAGCATTGATTACCGATCGACTAGCAGGAGATATCAGACCTGCTGAAGGTTAGAGGAGGACGACGGACACAAAACACAGCATTTTAGTCTTCTTATTAATTATATTATTTCAACTATTGAGACGTTCACACAGAAACTGTAAAAGAACAAAAGCATGAATGCTCTCCAGGACGACAGAGAGAGAGAGACAGAGACAGAGAGACAGAGAGACAGAGAAAGACAGAGACAGAGAGAGAGGCAGAGAGTGAGAGACAGAGACAGAGAGAGAGACAGAGAGAGAGAGAGAGGCAGAGAGCGAGAGGGAGACAGAGAGAGAGACAGAGACAGAGAGACAGAGAGCGAGAGACAGAGAGCGAGAGAGAGACAGAGACAGAGACAGAGAGAGAGAGAGGCAGAGATAGAGAGAGAGAGACAGAGAGAGGCAGAGATAGAGAGGCAGAGAGAGACAGAGAGAGACAGAGACAGAGAGACAGAGAGAGAGAGAGGTAGAGAGAGACAGAGACAGAGACAGAGACAGAGAGAGAGATATTGATGAAACGTTTGTGATATACAAACACAGTTTTGAAGCCTTGAGTTCGGCCTTTTGGCCGTCACCATCTTGTTTTTTTGCAACCAGTGAACAGGAAGTGAGCATATCTGGACTGAGGAGGAGTGACGTAGAGACACCGTATACGTCTCTGGTAGAGACCTGTCAATCACCGTGTAGCCCCTCCCTAGAGCATCCCCTGCTTTATGGTCTGTTTGACTCTAAATGGACCATAATGTACTAAATGAACATCATGCTGTATTGAAGAAGACTTGAAACTAGAGATTGAGACCATAAACTCATGTTTACAATGTTTACTGAGGTAATAAATCAAGAGAGAAGTAGAGTCATTTTCTCATAGACTTCTATTCAACCAGAGGAGTCGCCCCCTGGTGGACACTAGAGAGAATGCAGCTTCAACACATGAAGAACCGTACGTCTCTCATGATCTGTTACCTTCTTAGCAGGTGTGTCGAGGCGCCCCCCGCAGGCCTTACAGGTGAGTTCGGGTGTGGGGGGGGACGGCTGGCTGTTGAAGCCTGAGTTGGTGTAGGACTGATGACGTCGCTCGTCTCCAACGGGCTCTACGTCAGCACCAGAGTCTAGACACAACCAGTTACAGCAGGACGCAAACATGCCTGGAAAATACACACAAATACACACTTTAAGAAGTATTTAATACTTCATACACAACCAGTTCTGAAACTACTATAACTGTTATTTAAATAAGTAAAAAGTATGTTTTGTTACCTCCTGACATAAATACATGTTAATATCTTTAACACTCTTTAGATACTCATTCACTACAGTACCTGGAACATGTACATATATATATATAATAAATATATATAATATATATATAATATATATATATATATATATATACACACACATACAATATATACATATACATATATATACATATACACATATAATATATATATATATATA